AAAATGAGAAACAAACGGGGCTTAGGAAAAATTGGTGAAAGTGGTCCTCATGTTGTGGAATTGATGTACAAATGGTCCTTAACCTTCAAATCTTGAAGCAGATTTAGAAAGGCAACTCAAGGGATAGGTAGGAATTCTTGTTAGTTGTTACCAAACTGCTTAGTGAATAAGTCCTTGTTTGACAATTATCATTTCTCATACTCATTTTTAAAAGCATATTCTCACGATAAAATATTCTTCACTTGAATTCAAAATTTTTTCTTATTTTTTAAAAATTCATTCTCCCAAATTTTCTATTGAAAAACTCATTCTTTCCAAAATAAATTCGATCAAACAAGGGCTAAGAAGATTTGAGTAATGTTATTCATAGTCAATAACTACAATAGTCATCATATGTGGTAGCCACTGGTGGACCCGGACCCACATGGGGCCATGCGGGGGTCAAGTGACCCCACAAATTTTTTTTTTAGTTGCCCTTTACTTAGTGCTCCAAAAAGGGAGTAATGAAACCTCATATAAGTTGGGAGTTATCTCCAATGATTATGTACTTCTGTTTGTATCTACTGTGAGGATATAAATTATAAAATGTTAGTATAACTTAAAGACAAGTAAACAATTTAGAGATAATACTTGAAAAGATGAGATCAGGAAAAAAAAAAAAAAAAAAAAAAAAACAAAAAAAAAAAAAGAACAATAACNGATAAAATAGAACAATAGCACCCTGGTTAATGAGAGCATGACCATCATTTGTAGTTAAAAAAAATGGCCTGCTTAGTACACAAACCAAACTTATCATATGCAAAAACAAAACAAGAAACAGAAGAATCTTCCCTTCATTTTAATTTTATCAGTTCAAATGATTTAAGGTAATTATTAGTCTCTCTCTCTCACACAGGGATAGTACAATTGATTCTTGGTACTGCAAGGAAACAAAGTATGATTGCTAGATATAAAAAGGGTGCCCACCCCTACCTCATCATGTGGGTTGTGTTGTAATTGTCGAGTTATAATTGAGGCTTTGTGTTGCTTAGTACTAAGAGTATGTTAAGTATATAACCTGTATGCACTATTATAAATGTCATTGGAGTGTCATGTAAGGCTGGAAGAAAATGTTCGAGCACCAATGATTGAAGCCTATCGTCCTTGGAGGCTAGAGCGCCCTTAATTTATGACCGCATAATAAAAAATGTTTGGATCCCCCTTTGGTGACAGCTTGTTATTTGAGGCATTAACTTATTATTTGAGGTAACATAATTATAAAAAGTTAATACCTCAAATAACAAACTGCTGCATAAAATAATTATTGTAGTTGCTAACTATTAATAGCATTATTCATCATAAAAAGGATTCAATTGAGAACCTCAGTCTTAGAATTTGTGTATCAAATTGATCATTTAATGGGTTTCGATATCATATTTAGACTTACAATTCTATCTTAAAAGATAAATCTTGTTTAGAAGGGTAATCAAAATTTTTATAGGCTAATTTATATTTTAATATTTATTCAATGTGGAGTATATAGCGAATCAATTCAAAAAGATAGATAGGTATTCAACTACATAATTTTGATGAAGACAATTTTTTTAATGTAGCCCCCGTTTGACACCAATTTTCTTCTCATTTTTTTTCTTTCTTCATT